AAACCATTTCAGGTGACTACCTCTTGAAGCTCATGGAGAGAATGCCAAGAGTGTGCAAAGCAGTAATCAGAGCAAAGGGTGGCTATTTTGAAGAAACTAGAATATAAAACATGTTTTCAGTTATTTCACCTTTTTTTGTTAAGTACATAACTCCACATGTGTTCATTCATAGTTTTGATGCCTTCAGTGAGAATCTACAATGTAAATAGTTATGAAAATAAAGAAAACGCATTGAATGAGAAGGTGTGTCCAAACTTTTGGCCTGTACTGTATAAACAGTTATTATTTAGGATCAAGTGATGCAGAGCAAGAGGTGAAAAACTCCCTCTCTGGAGCCCTCCATAATATTTAGTGGATTATTCCACTTCCTTGTATAGAGGGTGCATGTTTTATACAAGAAAGGCACCAATCTTTCTTCATTCAGGCACGTGAATGTTGTCATAGAAGTCTAATCATTAGTCAGTGCATTAGACTCTAATGCCCAGAGTCACTAGCAGCGTGCTGTGTCAGTTCTTAAGTCATGGAATTAAAAGGAAAATTAGTCTTGCTTGAAAAAAAAAAAACCTGATGTAACATGAAGTTGCCCAGTAGCCTATTTCAAATGTATAGGGGGTGCACACACACACACACACACACACACACACACACACACACACACACACACAAAGCTAAATGCGATGATAATAAGGGCAGTGGGAGGTTATGAGCATCAAAGACTCATTATTGCAGTGTGGCTCTTACTGTCTCATTTTACTTTTTTCTATACACGGATTATTAACTCCTCCTGATGCTGAAGCACAGTGAGAGTGGTAGAGACCTGCTCGTCTCTGTGGAGCAGCTCAGAGCGACTTCACTTCATGGGTTCAGAGTTGCTTTCACCATGTTTGAATGGATCTACATCTCTCTGTTTCTTCTTTTCTTTTTTATGTTTATCTAAACAACAGAGTCAGACAAAAAAAAAGTCAAACTCACCAGGAGTTTCAGTTATTTCTCTCATTTCCCTCAAATCTCTCCGCTTTTTCAACTCATAGGAAAATCAGGGAAATTCACTTCTAAAGTTACTATTCATCAAAAATAGTAATAGCAATAGAGTCAAGGGCATAGGTTTGGATTTTTTCATCTTACAACAGTACTGCCGTTGAGAGGCTCTTTAGTTGTTTTTTATAAGGCCAGTTCTGGAAGATACTGTAGCAGCTTCATGTAGACAACTCTGGCTGCTGAGGCTTTATGTTAGTTTCACTCATGCAACGTTGTATGTTTCTGCAAACCACAAATACGTTACACGTGCATGTTCTTATGCACTTGATATACTGGAACAATGCTTTAGTCAGGTTTTCGCCCCAAAACTATATGGGTATGGTTGGGAAAAGATTATGTTCGGGCTTAAAATAGCCCGTTTGGGGGGCACAATCTCGGCAGCAAAAGAAACGATGCCTTGTTAAAGTGTACCTGCATCTTGTGACACTATCCCAGCAGAAAAGGCAGCACTGTCTCTGTAAAAATCAACTGCTTTTCGTGGCGCTATCTCGGCAGGAAACACAGCAAGGTGACCTGTAAAAATGACTGCTTTTTGCCCCACTATACCGACAGAAAAATCTGCGCTGTCTCTGTCTCATGCCTGAAAAGCCACTAGAAAAGCTGTGATGGGTTACTAAGAAAGCTGCAAGAAAAACAGTCACGAGTCACTGAACAACACCCACGTTTGGTGCCTATAAAAGCTGTTAGCAACTGCAATGACTCACTCAATCACAACCAGTTTTGTTGTTTGTTGGTCTCGAACAGTGGTTCCTCAGTGGTTTGTATCTTGATAGGTGTTTAAGACACACCCTCTCCCTCCCCAAATTACAAAGACAGCTAATACCTTCCGTCACTTCAGAAAAGTTACTATGAAACATATGAATGTATAAATTTAAGGTTGTCATAGTTCGCAGAAACGCACAAAGCCAACAATGCCAACATTTTCTTCTGGCGACCATCAGTGTAACTTAATACACTGAATAAAAGAGTGAGGACGCTGATTTTGACCTCCACCTCAAGTTGTAGGAAATAGGAACTTCAGGCCAGTATGGGTTGAAGGAAATATCACAAAAGCTCTGTCAGTTTACATCTGGCCATGTGAGGGTTGTATTATAGACAAATCCTTGGATCATTCTGTCTTTTTTCAAAGTATTTTCTCTAAGAGGCTTTGTCCGAACTGTATTTCTCTAGCTGAGATGTAATTCATTCTCTCCAGAGAGCAGTAATTGTTATGATGCAGAATTAAGCTCTGTAAGTAGTTTCCCCCAGCGTGGATGGCATGTGTACAGACGCTTCCAGCTGTTCGCATTGTTGCCAGAGAGCTGAGGACCTTCAAAATGGCTACCATAGGGTCCACTGTCAACACCTGAAGGTCGTGTATGTGAAGGCTGAAGCCTCTGACGGCTGCAGCTGAGGCAAACCTGGCTGAGTGATGACAGAGTACCTGAGGCAGATGTGACCCACGCAGTGAGAACCCTCACAGTGACACTCTCCACTCCCTACTATCAACCATCAGACATGATTACAGCTCTCGCTCCATGATCCAGTGCCTGTCTGAGCCCACTCCTTTGATTTCTCATGATTCTCTGCTGTAGCCAAAGTAATCAAACAAGAAGCTCTGCTCAGACAGAGACTTGACCCTGGCATGACATTTGTTAAAGTCGTACCACAAATGGGAACCATTTGTCAGACATCTTCTATTTTATTCAGAGGGAATGAGGATGTTTCAGCAGGTACCACTTTCTCTCGTGTCATATTTTACTGCTGACTGGAGGTACAAGCAGAGATTTATTCAGTTGTGTATTCCTCTATAGGGTTGTACAAACAGTCCCGTAGGTATCACAAACATTAATTATCTTCATCTAGTGATGGCTGTGACCAAACAGGCAGGCAGACCATTACCAGGATTTAAGAAAGTAAAGCAATTTAATGACATCAAAAAACACCAATTAACATTCTTAACATGCAATGGCTGAATTTTTACAAAACATTGCAATTCTTCTGATCATGGTGCTAAAGTTAACATAATAACTGTGGTCTGAATGACAGTATATTGAAAGTAACACAGTAAGGCTTGTTAAGATTGATGTAACAGTGACTACAGTGTCCGTATCTCAGCAGGGTGGGAAGATGTCACATATATATATATAATCTATTACAGGTACTGTGCACTTTCTTCTTAAAGAGCCCAATACAGTTCACACATGAAAATCAGTTCACTGATCATGGGGAGTAGTACTCAGTAGAGTTGGATAATGTTCTGTGGTTCTGGAGATGCTTTGCCAGGTCTGAAAAAATAACTGATGACATCATAGTGATGTCACCAGGGTTATCTCAGCTTAGACTTTGAGATAGCAAATTACTGTGTTGCTGTTAGAGTACAATTTATTTTATTTTATTTTATTTTTTTTTTACAATCAAAACTATTTTGAAGAGACAAAGTAAAGGTCTTTGACAAAAGGGTGTTATTCAGAAGTGCCTTTCTAATGAGAGAAAGATATATGGGAAGTGTAGGATTTCTGGACTGCTTCCATTTTTCACATTTTTTTTTAAAATATGTTTTAGCAAAAGACACTAAATCCCTGGAAGGCTGCTTTAAAGGAACAGTTTCATGTTATGGGAAATATATTATTATTACGCTTATTATGCTAACGATTTTGACAGATTTAATTACCTTTGGGACTATCGTTTCCAGTCTTCATGCTAAGCTAAGCTAACTGGCTGCTAGCCGTAGCATTGGGACCACCATTTCCAGCATAGACTGTATAAAAGAACGGACGTAGCTACCATTTCATCACCCACTGATTTGTGGACTCCCGTTTTGAAGCCTTGCATTTTGGCCGTGGCCATCTTGGATTTTTTGAGTCAGAAGAAACCATATTTAGGGGAGAGGGTGGAGCCACTGAGGGGCGAGGGCTGGATCTGACTGAGAACCTGAGGACACTATCTGCAGATGCCTGTCACTCACAGTAACCACACTCTTAATTGTGGGTAACTTTAATAAAATGTAAATGGGTGAGTTATATAAAAATCCACACTACGTACAGTTGTCATGAACAGGAAGTCAGCTATAGAGTCCAAAATCGTTTTTTGTACGGGGCTGTAAACATGTTGATTTTTGCTGTTAAACTGGGCTTTTTAATCATGGCTGTCTATGGGAATTTCTCATGCCAGCCTCAAGTGGCCATTCAAGGAACTGCAGTTTTTGACACCTCCATGATAGCTTCATTTTTTTTTTCCCAAAGTCCCAAAGGTTGAAGAAGGTTTGCATGTCTTTATGCTAAGCTAAGCTAACTGGCTGCCAGCTATAGCTTCATATTTACCATACAAACATGAGACTGGTATAAATTGCCTCATCTGTCACCAAGAAAGCAAATATGCATATTTCCCAATATGTCAAACTATTCCTCTGAACTACATTTACAATACCAGCTTGTGGCAAAGGCTTGCATTGTAATATATGTTGTCTATAAACTGGATTCAACTGTGTAGTTGTAGTTTTAATACAAGTTCTAAAAAAGGGTGAATAACTGGTTTACACAACAATTTCTAAAGAATGAAATATATAGCAAATTTTAATGGATAACTTGTTTGAAAATCTCCTTCAGATCTGATACGGCAGTTTATGGAGCTGTTATAGTAAGCACAGACCAAGATCTGTAATTTATAGTGTCCAATGGATGAAAATACTAAACAAGACATAATAACTACATTTTATTTTCCTCTAAGATCACAGGGAGCTTCGTGACTCAAGAATCATTATTTCTGATATGTAAACGTCCTTGTTACTTCGTCAGGTATAAAACCACTGGCAAAAAAATAAGTTAATAGGCAACCTTTATACACATCTTACATCATATTTAATGAATCAATTTCAAATATAAAAGGTCAGTAATATATGCTCCAATTGAAAAATATCAACTTGATATCCCCACTTACTGTATCTGTGGTCTACTACAAGATGACATCAGAGGCAAAGCTGCATATAATGATGTGCAATGGAGAGTGAAATGTCCTAACATTTGTACAAACAGCACTGCAGCTGAAGTAATGGAGATAATAAAAAGAAAATCCAAGCCCTCTACATTTTTTGTGTAATAATAATTATAAAAAAAGACACTTCGCACATACAATATACACTATATATACACAGTATTTAGTAATGGTCATCCTGTTGCAACTTGACAAAACAGAGCTTTATAAAATGTGGGTGGCAGTGTGCAGTTGGCAATGACGCATTACAATTGACACAAAACTTGTGCTCGGTATGGATAATGTCTGTTTCCTTTTTCATTTGTTCCTCGCAGCAGGTTTAATGAAAACGTTGTCCGGGAGAGGATGGATGGCCGTTCCGCTCCTCATGCCGGGGTCTGAATGGTGGCTTTGATCTCAGCAGACACCCTTTTCTCCTTTCGCCCCGCATACTCGCCGATAAAGGAGCCGTCCTCGTTGAACTGAGCGTCCTCGTCGCCGTAGTCCACCAGGCTGTCCCCGCTGTCCCCTGCTTTGATCTCTCTGCTCAGCGAGTGTTGGCTGCCCTTCAGCGGCTTCTCGTCGTTGTCACTGCAAGAGTGGCACAGTGGATTTAGAATCACCTCATTTCACCCATGGCTTCACTCTATGGCTTATTGGAGAGGCTCCAGCTATCACTGCTATCACCTCTACGATGAGCCTCTGTGACTGACATTAGTCTCTCTGCCAAACATTGGGGAACGATCAAACAAACACTTGTGCTAAGACAAAGTGATGACTGGAAGAGAAATGAGGTATTGAGGGGGGCATTAAACTGCTGCTGATTATTTAAGCTGCACATGCTTTGGTCCTGTAACACATCTTACTTGCCAGATGACAAAACATTATATGCTTTTATATGATTAGGTTCATAAATAATTCCCTGTTTTCACCAAAATTAGCACGTATATGCTGATTCTTTAAATACAGGAAAACACACTAAAAATAGGCAATAGGCTTCTTTTCTATTGCCAGCAGACCAGACTGTGCACATGGCTCTAAAGTAAACGAGAATGCATTACTTTTTTTTCTTCTTTTTTTCCTGGTGTGTCACTCTTTGGCGTCTCCAAGAGATACACCAGGCTTTCAGCTAAATCCTATGTAAACCCATGGCAATAGCTGACACTCAAAGCAACTGACATAAAGGGTGAGAAAGGAGGAGGAGGAGCTGAATGGGTCAAACAAAACTAGGCTTTCACCCAGGACACCGCAGTTCATGTCCCCTGTGAAACCAAAACTCAACGTTGTTTTAATGTAACAGTTTGTAATTTACGTAGGTCACTCACATGATGTATTTACATCACGTTTTGTTACTCTTATTTAACAACTGTACTTATTTTAACCCAAAAATAATCTTTTCCGAAGTCTGACCGAGCAGTTTTGTTGCCTAAACCCAGCTGCAACATTTCACAACTTTAACCACATGTTACAGTGTGTTTCAGCTGTGCGTCACAAACAGACGCGAAAGGGTGTCCTGCGCCTTGCTATGAGACGCTGAGGGGTGTGAAAAAGCTTGTGTATTTGACAACATTTGATGAGAACAGAAGGAATTTGTGGCAGCACATCACTGCATCGTAAGTAAAAGGGTTGATAACTGGTAGGTCCCCACAGGTGGCCAATTTCTTTTCAAGGACTGCATAAGCAAGACCTGCCCTGCTAGGGTTAGGGTAAGTATGTCAGGGTAAGCTATTAAGAAACAGAAAAAGGAAGAGTAGAGCAGATCACGCCTTTGCCTTCCTAGAAAAAATGGTGTCATTTTTTTCATCACTGCCAATCGGAGCCAATCAGCTCTGAGCTGGAGCTGAGAAATACTGTTGACTACTGCAGTGTCATTTGTCCTTTGAGTGACTGCCGATTGTAACCTTGCCGACTTCAGACAAAAACCATATGTTGGTGGGTGTTGTTTGGATTAATTGCTCTGATTTGGGTTTTTTTGTCTGTTCAAATTATTTTTTTAATGTTGCCAATATGACGTCCATTTAGCGTTTCCACTCCAGACAGTACACTTAAATGTGGGCGGGGTCAACTCATGCATGGAGTAAAATTCCAAGTAAATGTTCCTCCTTAAAAGTCGGCCCAGTGAGTTAAATTATTTTTTCTCAGACTACAGCTGCTGTGAGAGGCAGCAAAACTACTTATCATGTTATGGTTATAGTTTGGTTTACTAATGTATGTACAACTTGCCATGATATGAACAGTGGTTACACAAGCTTCAAAACCAGCCGCAACTCAGCCCTGAGCAGGGTGACCATCTGCTATTGACCAATCAACGGACTGCAGTGTTCACAGCCTCACCTTTAAGTACCAGATCTGTGTGCTATGTACCCCAACAGAGGGGGGACCAAAAATGGGAACGGTACAGAACGGTTCCAGCAAAAAACGCGCACCGAAATGAAGTGAACTGAACCATACCGTAGCGTACCATCAGTGAATTCACAAGCTGATAATAATGAGGACGAGGCTGTGGATAAAGAGGGTCAAATTGGGATTGTGATGTTACTGAAACAGATTACATCCAAAATTTCAGGCTGTCAGGAGCTACTTTTATGGACATCTGTCAACGCCTCCCCACAAGACTCTTGAGGCAAGACACTGTGTTCAGGCGACCCATCTCTGAGTGACGTAAAAGTTGCTTGAATTTAGAAATGACTGTTCAGACTGAGGTCAGGTTGCAAAAGATCAGACTTGTGTCTGATTCGGGAACTGCCCATTGGTTCGACAGCCCATTGGTCCGACATCCCATTGTTCTGACCATATTAAACTCTTTGTTCCGAAGTCCGTTCCGAAATCATCATGATGCCCTGTGGTTAAGGTCTGGTTAGGTTTAGGCACAAAAACCACTTGGTTAGGGTTAGGAAAAGATCATGGTGTGGGTTAAAATGGAAAAGAAAGTGACAAACTCATAAGCCGTGAGCCTGCTTCGCCTCAAGCTGGTCGCGGCGCACCATACGCCCGCTGCGAGCCGTTCAGCACCGCGGACAGTCGGACTAATGGGATGTCGAACCAATGGGCTGTCGAACCAATGACATGGACCCATCTGATTCAGGCCCAAATCAGATTTGAAAAGCTCAGATTCCATGTGGTTTGTGCTGTTCACTCTGTTATGAAAAAAAAAAAAAAACAAAAAAAAAAACAGATCTCTGTATTAAAAAAAAAAATCAGATTTGGGCCACTTTTGCCTACAGTCTGAACGCAGCCTTGGTGATAGATTTATGAGTATCTGGTGCAACCAGCTCCTGGAGTCAACATGACAAAGTATGAACCCTGTCACACAGAGCCACATCAGCGTTTGTTGTGCTGTGCAGATCCCACTGATTGGAGAATTACACTGAGACTCATGCTGGGGTCGACTTATGAAGCGGACCACTGAAGGATTAATGAAACGTGCCCAGATATCACTGCCCTGGAGATGAGCTGCTTTCAATTACACTGATTGGTTTTAGCTTCCCGCTGTGTGCCGGGCAGCTCGCATTTAGCTCCTTCCGGACAGAAAATGGCGACATCTGAGCGGCGCTGTGGCTCCCTTTATGATACAATGTCTATGACAAACAACAACACAACACAGTATCTAAGATCACAAAGGGATGCTATCACTCGGACAACACTGATGTGCAAACAGCTCAGGGATGCTACCACTGTTTATCACATACTTCCAGTTACTCAGGCCTTCAAATGTCTTGAACAGAAGAAGTGTAAGGCTCCACGTGAACCTGGTGCATGCTGGGGTGTCTTTTCAGCGAGAGGAGGAATGCAGAGAGAATCACAGAGAGAAGAGGACAGCAGAAGAGAATTTCATACGCTGTTGCACGTGTATTGCAGTGAGGTGGTGAAATAGTGCTCTGAGGGTTACGCTTACCTGTATTCACAAAATGTGTCGTCATTCATGCCCTGGGATTCCACGTCTGGGTGGAGGTCCTCTTTTTCTTTTACTGCTCACAAAATGAAAAGAAGATAGCAGTGATTTCCTCAAGAGAAGGCTGCCAATGACGATCACTGTGTCCCCTGACTGTTTCATTGTTTGAATAAGTTAGACTCTCAGTCCCTGATTCCCCGCACTTATTCGCTTAATGAAAGATCAGTGCAAGCCTCAGAAAAGATTGCAAAATTTCAAGAAATACATTTTTATCTCACATTAGTTTTAAAAATATCAAGCTTTATCTTTCATAAAATATTTTTCATCTAACCTGGCTTTTTATATGAATGTCAAACTCATGATACAGTGCACATTTAAAAGTATAGTTCTATAGTAACAGGAGAAAAAAAAGACGCGGCTCAGGCAAATGAAAGAAAAGGTTGCCGGAGCTACGGGTGATAATGAGAACTTAATGAGAAAACAAAGGACAGAGCTGCGTCTCGCTCTTTTTTCTGCTGACGAGCGAAGTGATCGCTGCCCAGACGACAACCTGACTGCCATTAGCTGTGAATAATAAAGCCGATAAGGACTCTCATGCCCCCAATAGCAGGAATAACATTGAGATACCACAGAGCTTATGTCATCATTCCCTGTTCAGCTGCTCTGTGTGCAGCATTTGCATTCTGTCTCGCTGTGGGCTGCACTTTGTTTAGATTGTTGCTGGAAAAAGCTGCAAATAATGCCAAATTCAAATGCTGGACATGGAGTAGGAATGCTCATTTTCCTATCAATACACGAGCCTATTTATGTATACATTTGCATTAAAATAATTTAGTGGCTGGGAGAAAAAAAAAACATATCAGCTTACATATTCCTGTAATGGCTTCTAGTGTGATTGATAATTTGTTTCATAGCAACAAACAGCCAAATGGAAATCTAATGATGCTCCGAGCAGCAATTACTATTCAAGCAAGGTGAGTGTGTGTGTCTATATGTGAGCACCTACCGGAGTACTTCCCTCCTTTATTTCTGTTGACAAAGCAGGCGATCAACACAGTGAGTGTGAGGAGAGCGATGGCACACATCAGGCCGATAAACCAGCCCTGGGTGGATATTCCTCCGTGGACGCTGGCCAGACCTGAGGAGAACAATAGCTGGTGACTTTGACACGCCTTGGCCTTTTCATCAGGACACTTGATTGAATGTTTACATCGACAAAGCCTATCTGATGCAAAGGCTGAAGGTGGCCGGGCGCGCCGCTGATGGAAACGGTCCAATATTAATATTAAACAGCTAATCCTGCTTGTCTAATTAATCAAGTAAGGAACGCTGTACAAATGTAATTCCTCTCAGCGAGTCCGCGCGGCCAAATTAAATCCTAGTGACACCACTAAGGACCACACGCCGCGGCTTGAGTCACTGCTCAAGGACGCGCTGGGTGCAACTGCACTCCGCTCAATGAGAGGTCAATTAGTTCTGCCTGCTTTTCTTTCTTTTGTTGTTCTTTTTAGTTTCCCTCCTCACCTGTAAACCCGGTCGTGATAACATCTTCAAATAAACTAGAATTATCAAGCCAGCTGTTTGGAATGAGGCGCACAGTGTACTCAGTCCCAGGGTCGAGCCCGTCAATGATGTGGTAAGTCTTAGAGGTGTTTAAGGCCTCTGATATCTTCCAGAGACCCTCACCTGTGCAGAGGGTGAATAATCAGGGTGCATTAGTACTCATGACAACACACTATTGAATCTAGTGAGGATATGAATGAAAAGACACGAAGGACCATTTCAGACACAACACATCTAAAGGTATCAGATGTTTCACTGAAGCATCCCTCTAACAACATCCATAAACTAACAGATGAAAAGGTGCAATATGAGCTTACGGTTGTTCATGTATGCAATGTAAAACTCTGTGTGCTCTCCTCCAGATATCCAGCTGATATTTGCGAAGCTGTCACTAACAGCTGAGCTAACATTCAAGATGGCAGGGACTGAAGGAGAAGTGAGACGAGATGAGAAAGGAGAGAAATGGCAGAGGAGGGTTAGTAAAGGACAAAGCAGATCAAAGCCTTAATGTAGGGGTTAGGAGTGTTGTCAATATGTGATGAAGGATGCTTATTGCTCTTCGCCTTCCATGAAAGGAACAAGTGTGCTCTTCTGATTCTTAACACTATCGTGAAGAGGTATCAATTACGTCTGACAGATGGGGACTTTGGGTGAATAATAATATGGAAATGAAAGATGAAAAATGAAGAGCCACAGAGACCTTAAAGGGACAGTTCAGCCCCAAATTTAAAAATATGCATTTGTCCTTGTAACTGTAGTGCTGTTTACCAGTCTAGATTTTTTCGGTGTGAGTTGCTAAGTGTTGGAGATATCAGCCATAGAGGTCTCTGCTTTCTCACCATTATAATTGAACTAGATGGTGCCAAAAACAAACCAAAACAAACAAACAATGTACACTTGAAAAACTCAACAGCAATGCCCCCTTTCCAGAAATCATGATTTGATTACTCCACAATAATCCACAGACCTTGCAGTGAGCAGTTTCATGTAGGGACAATTTTCTGTCTACCAAACTACACCATATCACTGCGCCAACCATATCACAGCACAGAAGGAAGAGTGCATCTACTCCTTTACAATGAGGCTCTTGCCTGTGACAGCACAAGATGGAAATATTAATGGCATCCTCCTTGGCTGAGCTGTGACATTACCTAGCTCAGTGGTGCTAGGTGAGTTAGCAGTAGATGCACACGTCCTTCTGTGCAGGGACACAATTAGTGGGCGTCGTTCAGTAGGAAAAAATAAACAGTAGGATTGAGACAAATACTCGGATGAAACAAGTATCTGGTACAGATAATGTACTTTTTACGAGTATGAGTATCATCCAAGTAAAATGTCTCAATATTCATGCTCATGATGAAGCAAAATCCTCATTTGGGTCGCTGTCTGATCAAAAATGACCTGAAGCTCCATTCTAAGACTGCTCTGTGATTTGTTTTCTAATAAAAATATAAATATAGCAACTTCTGGTCAAAACATATCAATTTCCACCCAGTACCCACCCATTTCCTGGTCAAACTCCAGCCAACTAAATTATCTGTATCTGTATCTGTATCTGTACTTGAAATGGGCAAACAGATACAGATAACGGTACCTGCTCATCCCTGGTTCCTACATGCAACTGCTCACATAAAGGTGTGTGGATTATCTTAAATAACCGGACCATTACTTCTGAAAAGAGATATTACTTTTGAGTTAACATGTTTTTTGGAGCTTAGAGCACCACAAGATGAGTGCCATCTAGTTCCATTACATGTATATTAGAGAAAAGTCAGACATCTCTATGGATTATATCTCCAACACTCTGCAACTCACACCTAAACAATTTATAATGATGAATATATAATGATGAATAGTACTACAGGTAACAGGAAAAAAATATGTATTTTAAGGACCACAGTACGCCATACTATGATATGTCATGGTCATATCACAAAAGATGTTTTACTCAGCTAGCACTAGTTCAAATAATGTCTGTTCTCAGGGCCATAGCCAGAATTTTAGAAATACAGTCCTGAGGTCTAATCACCCCTAAAAATGATATATTATCCAGAACTGATTAGCTTTCGATTAAACATTTAGTCTTTGATATGACAGAATATAATAAAAAATGCCAAGCACCTGTTCCCAGGCCTGACGTTATGCCTACAAATGTCTCATTTTGTACATCTCAGCCCAAAACCCAAAGATATTTTATTCACTACGAAACAAAATTGATTAAAGCAAAAAAAAAAAAAAAATCTTCACATTGAAGACCAGAGCTCTGGTGTTTTTGAATGATTGATGACTAGTTACTAAACAATAATTAAACAATGAATCCATGATCAAAGTCGTTTCTGTTGATTGATTAATCAAATAATAGTTTCCGCTCTAATGTTTAGTAAATAAAAAAAATCTGCCTCAGTCTTTGAAGCCAATGATGTGTAATTTAATTCCCAGAAGCAACACTGGGGACATGAGCTCAGTGATCTCAGTGGCTGCTACAGCCTTGGTTATACTCTCTTTCTTTGAGGTGTCCAATTATTAGTGGGCTTTCATAATCATATTTTATGTTATTTGCTTTGAAAGCAAGAACAAATTCCATCCGTACAAAGCTTTATCTGCCTCAGACATATCATGTAATGTAGCCTTTTGATACCCAACAGGGAAGACAAACAGTCTAATAATGTGGTGAATGATGTGCATCATTAGTATGGGGAAAGTATGCTTTGACAGCAGCTGTCTAAGCCAGTCAACAAAGCACAATCCACTTCATTTCCCCACGGCAAACATGCAAATCTTCTGCTGTGTCTCCTGCTCAGGTGCATTATTTGCTCAGGTGATAATTCGGCACACAAGGACACCTGCGTCTGCGCTGCCCATACCAACCACTGCAAATGACACTCTCTGACTAATGCTGATGGATTAGTCTGCATCTATGGTAATTCCAATCATTGGAACTGTGCGATGACTTCGCCTGACATAGGCCCTGGAACTAAAAATATCCCAAGGCTGGCTGCTGTGTTTTGTCACTGCGCTCCTCAGTTTGCCATTAAATGCTGCAGAAAGCAGCTGCTCACCCAGCAGGGAGCTGCTGCCCTGGAAGACGCCCCTTCAAAGTCAGGAGGCTTTTCTTTATAAGGAGAAGCCGGAAAATATTCTGATACAGGTGCCTTCAACAGCTTCCACTTATCCACTTATCTCAGTGTCCTGCAAATATCACCCTCCCAGTATGAGCTCACACCTCCCCTGCACGGCCCAGGAGGACGTTCATCCTCACTATTTTCTCTCCTCTCAGATGCTGCCCCGGACAACTTCTTGTCCCTGAGCGGTGTTGCTGTTTACCCAGTTGAAGATTACATGGAAATGTCAGGTGACTGTTGGGTCAATACACTGACGTGTACAGGGGGGATCGAGGCCCAACAGATCAATCACTGACAATTAGACATATTTGTCCCCTTCAAGTGACTGCACTCCACAGCTTCACTGTCGGGTCGGGATATGGATCTAGTATCTTAGATTTCCCTGTGGTACAGCAGAGAAATTAAAACCCTCTTTTTCCATCAGTCTGCCCTCATCTTATAACAAACAATAAAACAGAGCTGTTACTTCACATTTCAATCCTTGTTTCAACTGGATGACACCATTTGTTAAAAGTAATCTGAAATAGTAATCAGCCTACATAATATGGAGGTATTTTGTATCTTTGTTTATGTGTTATCAATTTACTTTGAGGCCAACAGCCAACCAAAGGGGTTCAAGGGTCATCACATCACTTAGTAACTGCAAAATGTTCTGACTAAACATAAACATGTATTTGGTTTTCCGACATTTCCATATTTATGTCACTGTCTTTGCTTGTCTCCGTGGATTGATGCTGGTTGTGTCAGAATGTGCTGCAGCTCTACCTATGGTGGAACGAGTGGGTTTGGTCACTGGGGACTTTGGAGTGCTTGGAGGTGAGGGGGAAGCTGACTTGCCTGAAAAGAAAGACAGACCTTATGGTTATCAAATGGGATAGAGCTCGGGGGTGCTACATACTACTGTTAGCACGCATGCTTTTTTCAGCTAAACTCTAAAATTAGTAACTAGTCGTGTCTACTGTGAAACATCTAGAAGAGATAAAATATATTTTGCATTTGTTTACACTCAAGGTGAGATGTAATTTGACTTGATCTTGTCTTTTAAAAGTAAATGGATGTTCTTTTTGTACATCATTAATAGGAAGAAAGAGGGATGTCTGATGTTCTTCCTGGGTTGGGCTCTTATAGCATCATTTATCTCCTCAGCTTGAGTTAGACATGTTGCACTGAGTCTGCTGTTGTTCGGATAAAAGTCAATATTCGTTTACAGTCGCTAATGAGCCAAGATTAATATGAATTTATAATTAGGTTACTCATTACCATTGCTATTAGAGAGGAAGCCACAAACTTTATCTAAGGAGAAGTTGACAATTTTCTAATGAAAGGAGGCATCAGAGTGCTCTCTGCCGATGGCAAGGGCACACAGCAGACAAGGTCAATTATCTGCAGAGCAGCCCGGTGTTTGGAGCTTTTAAATTCTGTACAGAAAAATATAAAATGTGTCAATCTGTTTGAGAACCCAAACCTGATGATTTATTCAGGCCTGTAGCACCTGTCCTAATTTCTAAATCTAAAGCATGCACCCACTAACTAAAATAATAATCACCACTGTGAAACATGTCATACCCACATACAGCAAATTTAGAAACACATAATTCAAAATGAAGTATTGGACCCAATCCCAATACAGCCCTTGCTCCTACCACTTAGTTCTTACACCTCCAATCTGTGCTCACATCCAGGGGTAGGGTGTCCCAGTTTGTGCTGGGATAGAGGGGCAGGGTGAAGTGTTTGGGCTACATGGCCCTTCAAATGGAGGTTTTTCAGAGGCACACTCCAAACCGAGTGTTATGAAAAATCATTGACAGGAAGGCTGCACAAGCAACAAAAGAAACCAAATGTATTTTCTTCATTAATAAAGCTACAACAATTATGACAACCTTTGTATTATCTATTATGGTCCTTTCTTTTATAACATAAGCATAACAAAGAAAAAAAATGCGAGTAGTATGCTGATGTCTTGGTTGCTAACTAGCTAGCTAATTAACATTGTTGTAATTGTTGTTGCTGATTTGTGCATGACAGTCCCACGTTTTGACATATTTCCATTTTGCAAAACCAGCACTTAAACATACATTAGTGTGATCACAACTGTCTAAAATGGTAGAAACTATCTTTGAGAAAAATTTATTTGATGTGTGCTTTGATTTTTTACTTTGGCCCATGTCCTATCTGCTAACATGGAGGGGGCAGGCTTTATCAACTATACTGCAGCCAGCCAGCAGGGGGTGATCAAGATGTTTTGGGTTCACATTTGGGGAGCTGTCATGTGGTCCATCTTTAGCCCCTTTTACACTGCCAGATTTTCCGCGAATGTTTGGCCGTTTTGCCGGCAAGTTGCGAGCGTTTAGACACACAGAGCCGGATTGGCAAGTTGATCCAAGGTGCCAAATTTTCTGCCTCAGAATGGTGATAGCAGGAATGAGCAGCTAGTACTAGTAGCAAGAGGGAAACGCAAACCTGAAAGACACTGTAAAGATGAGCAACTGGGGAGACAAAGAATTGCGCGCCCTCCTTGTCCTCGCAAACGAAGAGGCCATTAACCGTCAAATGATGGGAATGGTGAAGGACGGGCCGACTTATGAGAAAATCGCCGAAAGGCTGACCAGCCGTGGCTTCCCTTGGAGTATGTCACTGTTTACATCACATGCTGAGCTACATGTTTTGTTACTTGCTCACGCCCCCCATTGCCCCGAAAACAAAAGTAGGCAGGTGGCATTTTGCTGCACTCCCCGATTTTGTTTTTATACTACCAATGCTGAAAGAAGGCTGATTGGGCTTTCCTGCAAATTAGCACAATTCCTATTTTAAAAGGGCTTTTATTTCACAGTATATGGTGCAGACTGGCAGGGTACGTAGGAGCATGGGTTGCTAATGTTAGCCTACAGAGCACCACTAGGGGTCTGGTAAAGGCCAATAATAGTTTCTGCATCTGTGTGTCCATGACGGTCGGCTTTGGTCCGTGTGGCATAAATATCATCATCAACACGTCTGCCAGGGTCTGCATTGAGCCCTGTGCACATTTTTTGTGACTACATGAACTGTAGGAATGGCAAGCGCGCCGACTGCACATGTCCAATCTATTGCTCCACACCCAATACAACAGCAGCTGCCTCACCACTGTGAAGTTAGCTTCAGGTTGGAAATTCAACAGACATTCACTCTGGACTCAGCGGTATCTCACTAGTTTGGAGAGTATGTCCAAATCTTAGTGAAGCAGTACTCTTTTTTTATTTGATGACTTGTTGGATTGATCGACAGCATGAAACTTCAGCTGTGAACGGATCGGAAGCGTCCTTGCTTTTCTGATGTCAAATGTCATTGTGATACTGCCATTCTTGCCATTGTCACCACTGATGACTACTTATCGGGGTCTTGAAGGTTTGCCCTGTGTTATAGGGGGATGTTTAAACACTAACCATTGTAAAGGTTGTAGCAAAGGGGCAGTCAAAAAACAAGGGATGTGGGTACCACAAATGGGATTGGGCCCTGATGTTATAGCAGTGTTTCAAAACAGTGTAGGTATGACATAGCCACAGTACTGACATGAGCACAGATTTACATACTGAGGCCAAAAGTGGGAGCCAAAGTGGAAGCTGCAGGAAAAAATAGAAAAGAAAGAAAAAAAACAGACAGAGGGGACAAACAATGCTAAGCAGACATTTACACATTCGCTCACATTAACAATACACACTGAATGATCACAGGTAATGCTTTAAGCAGTGCACGTTTTAGTGGCAAAAGAGAAAGCAAGCAGAGGACAATTAACAGAAACGACACTGACATATACACACACACACTGATAGTGCAGCTGCCACAAATAACTTTCATGCTCCAATCTTAAGTCTCCCGCACACACACACATGAAACAGCTCCACAAAAATTCAATACATAAAAAATGAGTCCTTCTCCCTGTAATCATTTCTGCTGGCTTTTCAGCATGCAAATAAACAACCCCTAAGAGCCAATTAAGTTTCTTTCTGTGATTGTAAGGATTCTTCCAGTAAACACTAAGTAATCGCTCGCATATTCAACACCTGCAGTGAGTTGCAACATTAAGTTGAGTCGTTTTGTTTTTGCATAACGCAACTTGAATGACATATTAAATTTCTCTGAGGTGCATTTGTAGTAAAAGCACCACCCAATTATTTATGCTGACAGTATCTGTTGCTGCAGTCCATTTCACTGACGCTCAGGTGGATCCAAACACAGTTTCCTGTTTCATTTCCCGTCCAGGCGTTCTTACCAGCGCCTGCAATCTCACAGGAGCTTGACTTGAGTTTGTATGGCGTGCAGTCCTCAACAAATGATATGTAATTGAAAAGAAAAGATTACATGCTACAAGCCGTCTCATTATGATTACTTACCCAGCAACTCTTTCATGATTACACAATTCAGTATCAAAACCTTCAGTTTCCCTTCTGCTCAAAGCAATTTTCTTTCTTAGCTGATTGTTTCATAGCTCACACTCTCTGTCCAATCAATAAGCACTTGCTCTCTCATGACAGTGACAAATGAAAACCTCCACTACACCCATATGAAATTGTTTATCCACAAAAATTACTTACATGGAAATATGAAAAGCTTGGCTGCCCAGGCATATATCATATTCCGCTAGTTCAGTGCCATTTTGAAATGGTGAAATGGCTTCGTCACCTACTTCACTTCAGCCTGAATGCTCCCCGGCCAATTCTGCACCTCAAAGCTTGTCTGTGATGTCATTGTCTACCCAAGGAGGCAGCCCACTCACCCAGCTGCTCACCCCCACTCACAGAGCTTATCCACACATACAACACCTAGTCAATTGCTTTCTGGAGCCTCCATCACTCACTTGTTTCTAGGGTAGTGGTGCACTCCTCGCTGACGATGGGCCCGCAGCCCACCGTGGTGCAGGAGCGCAGGTAGAACTTGTATTTGCTCAAAGGCTCCAAGTCACGCAGGATCCATTTGGTGGTGTCTGGGTTGCTGATGTCTACTGTCTGCAGGGGCCCCACTTCCTCTGTGTCGTTGACTAGATTTAAGAACAGCAGAAAAAATGGTTCATTCTTTTAATACAGCCCTCAAATAGCACTGTTCATTTACCTCAGCAGAGGCTGTTGCTGTGGTTCAATCAATGTCAAACACTGCACTGTCTCTCTGTTTCATTACTTTCAAATACATAAAGTGGAAAGGTAAAATATAATACGACGTGCTACGTTGGCTTCATCACTGTCAGCTGTTTTAGTTTTTGTTAAGTGTTTGTATGTCATACAAAAAAGTCATTAAACATGTCAGTGTTATATGTCACAAAGAGTCAAAGTGTGCGCACTTTTCCTGTGTGGCCCTTGATCCTACGCTTCCTCCCTAAAATGGCACACAGTCATTAAAACTCAGAGAACCCCTGATCTACGATTTTTGTTTCAAAGTGCTCCAAAATGGTAAGTTTGGCTGTTATTTCCTTTGGGGTTGGGATTCCCTCCAGTTGGGTCACAGAAGGTGTTGATTGAAAATGCCACCCCCTCATGTCAATAGGTAATTACAACCCTGAGAGGAAGTACAGGGACAGAGGGGGTAACAAATATGTGTTTAAGTGGGACCTCTAACTTACTTTGCACATGAAAAGGAGGGGGAACAAGGCACGTTTACAGTCTGCACGCCCTGTTCTTACACTGCTTAAAGGGAGCCTTTTTGATCATTTTCAGTTTTTTGTCAAATTCTTTGTATCCTAGTGTCACTGAAAGACAGCACCTATTGTTCCCACCCCAGTACATACCCTGTAACTAGATTGTTCACACACTGCATGAGGGGAAAAGAGGAACTGTTTCATTTTATAAGTCACAAATTTCATACTGACATTGTAATAAGGGAACATTCTCACACCACAATGGTGTGCCTGCTTTATTCTACAGTCCAAATGCCCTGTATTTACACTGAAATAAGGGAGCTTTTCCTCCACATGATTTAAGACTTTTTAAGGTTTTAATGCCACTAAGACTGAAACTTGAACCCAATTTTACAATCAGCAAAATTCAAGGGAAAAAATAAAATGAGCTGACAACAATTACTTCAGGTTAGGGACAGTTTTAAATGTTTATTGTAACGTAAAACATGACTTTCTTTCTCGTGGCTGAGACAACGGTAGAACAGAACTGGAGAATACCAGGCATTCATTGGTGAGTTTTCTTGGCAATGTTGTGTTTCTCACTCTAGCCCCTTTTACACTGCCAGATTTTCAGCGAATGTTGGGCCGTTTTGCCTCGCTGATTGGCGAGTTGATCCGAGATGCCCAATGTTCCGCCTCGTAGGGTAGTCATATTGAACCTTTTTGGTTTCAAAAGAACGAGGCGCCCTTCACGTGCACGTGCAACCCACTTGCGGTGGATAAACAGGAAACAGCTGATAGCAGGAATTAGCGAGCAGCTAGTAGCAAGAGGGAAACACAAACCTGACAGACACTGTAAAGATGAGCAACTAGGGAGACAAGGAATTGCTCGCCCTCCTTGTCCTCGCAAACTAAGAGGCCATTTACCGTCAAATGACGGGAACGGTGAAGAACTGGCCGACTTATGAGAGAATCGCCGAAGGACTGACCAGCTGCGGCTTCCCTCAGAGTACGTCACTATTTACGTCACACGTTGAGCTACATGTTTTGTTACTTGCTCACGCCCCCCTCATTGCCCCGAAAAATTTGAAAGATTGATTCAAGACATTTTCATACAACTTAAGGCCTTATTTTGAGACTTATGAATTCAATGTATTTTAAGACTTTGTAAGGATCCACAGGAACCCTGATGTTTTTGTGATTCCTTTACTTTAGCACACACTAAAATTAACTTTCAGCTTGCACTCTGATTTGAAGCACAAAGTCTGGCGTTTTTTAAAATACTTCCAACTGTCAATTGCAAGACATTTCAATGATGCCACATAAAGCAAATGTCACTTGTCATTTTTGGATTGCGCATCTGCTTTTTTTGGCTTTAACAAAAGACAACTTGTCATTTGCTTGTTTGGCTTCACTCCTCTTTAAAATGTTGATTGTGTCCTGCACAGTCACAACTAGAATTTATTAGTGTTGTCTTTGTCTACATTGTGATGGGATCTAATTTTTCACTACTTAAAGCAGCACAGTAGGTAGGGAGGTGGCATTTATGTTCTTTGTAACAAAAACAAACACAGCAGGTGTTCAGGTGACCTTTGCTGTGAAAGAGGTGCTACGTCTCTCTGGTAGGAGGCAGCAGAAACAATGACAAGAATGTATTGGTCTGCTTCTCTTTTTGCCTGGACACCACCCACTGTTATCAGACATCACGACTTTTATTTTGTTGTTGTTTTGTTTATCGGGACAAAAAACAGTCCACTTTTGGTAAATTATACAACCCAGGCTGTTGCAGAGAAGAGGCTATAAGCATCACTTTTCTAGCCTGTGGATGGATACTTTCTTACTTATCCGGAAGCACTCAGGCCTGACAGCTGGTGCGCATGATCCTATAGAGTGAACTGGCTGAAGGCTGTGTACTTTGGCTCCTCCGCTGACTTCAGACAACAACATTTCCAAATATTCTTCAGCCCTACTGGGCCAAATAGGGTTGGCCTTGTGTAGTGTGAAACAGACCAAGACTTAGCAACGCTGAAATCTGAGAGTGAGTATGAGCTGAGCTCAACTGGGAAGAAAAACAGAATGAACTGAAGCCAAGGTCATTTTAACTCCCACTTGTGGAGATCAGTGCAGTGCAAACTTCACTCTTGATGAGTTGCTCTGAGTAACTCTAATATAGACTGGTGTTCACAAATGTGCACAAAATACTAATCAAGTGACAAAATCCTCACGTAAACTCTTCGCTGCAGCTCCTCTGCCACATGGCAACAAATGATGCAGCAAACTGCTGTGAATGGATCAAGTGTGAGCCCTCATCTTTACCTCTGTGACAAACTTATCTTTGCCTTGTCAAGTGGTGTGACTAGCTTCCTGAGAGAGAGGCTGACTAGTAGTTGTTCAGTCTGTACTGGCCTAATCTGCCCCAGGCTTAAAGTGGGTTAGCAGCTCTTTGAGGCACTGTGACCATGCCGCCTACTTAATGTTGAGGGGAGCTTTGGGATACATACAGCCTTTACATTCAGGTTTTTATTTAGTGATTTAGAAAAGAATGCTGACAAAAACTTTCTAAGTTCAGTGAACAGCTATTATTAACACTACAAAGTGTACTGGTGGAGGAAAAACCTCTATAATAATGTCCTGTATTGGATGTATCCCACCGCATCTATTAGCAGGCCAGTGTGCTGATAAACGCACTGATCTTCTCTGGTGACAACTTGATACGATGATCAAAAGGTTTCGTGCCACTTCATAGCAGATTAGTTTAACCGCTTAAACGCCCTGGTACTCCTGCACACTCAGGGTGTTAAATGATGTTACAACAGGCCTTCCTGTGAAACCTGTGAGACGTGAAGCTATTACAGGCTGCGCTGAAAATGGGCGTGGCCCTACAACAGCTGTGCTGCAGCTTGAGATTCCCTTTGTGTCGCTTATGATACACTGACAGCTGGCTACATTATTTGCAACATTTCACACATGACTTACCTCAAGGGGACTTAGAAAAAAAAAAAAAAGTCACACTTCAAAGAGCCCATCAGCTTTATTGCTAGGGTACAATGAAAACGTCCTCTCCTGAAATACCGTATGACACTTGGCCCGCTTGTGCAGCCGCCAAATCAAACTCAATTAGCCGGGAAATGTGGCACTAAGACGATGTTGGAAGTTAGTCGTTGGCTTTCGTTATGACTTTTGTTTAAGGATGGTGAAGTGTGTGCACACGTGGGTTCGGTGACGGTATCCCCCGGGACTATGAGCAATGGTGACGGTGTCCCCTGCGGACAGGATGGGGTCAGTAAAGCCGGACCTTAACCGGCTGTGACACAGTGGCCTTCGTCAGCACTGGCTGAGCCACGATTGTGACACGCAGGCCGGCGGACATCACCCTGACATGTCTCCTATATACACACTCTGATCTCAGCGTGACCCCGGCCCTATTAGAGAAGCACAATGATTTTCCTTCCCGTGCTGAGGATCATGGGTTAGACAATCACTAAGATCTCCCACCTTTCTTTTACCATTACACTCCTGTGCTGTAAATACATGTCTGTATCAATACAAAACATTATGGAGGTAGAGGCTGTGCATTCAAAGCAGTGAGGCTATTAAGATCTCTGATACACAGTCACTGTTTCCAAACTATAACATATGGCCTGTGTGTTTTTGTATATACTCAGTTTATTTTGTTCTTAAGAAGGTACAAGCTGAAAAGGACCCATAAATGTAAACACTATTACACACAAGTGGAAAAGCAATACATCCTCGTGGCAACCAAGGGGCATCAGCATTATATCTGAGTTAGTTAAGCATGAGGTGTGGGGATACTTACTGAGCTGATACTCCAGGAGGTACCCGGTGAGAATCCCATTAGGCTCCAGTGGCGGGGCCCAGACCAGAGAGACAGTGTGCCTCTGTACATCTTTGACCCTGAAAACAGGATTTTTCTCAGGGACTGTGGGGGCAAAGAAGGTAATACACACAGTAAGCAGTCGAATTCTGCAACCCAGTTTCCTTAGCTATTATTAGATTTTCCCTTCAGTAGTTGTGAATCAATACGCTCCATGCTGTTTTTCCACAATCCTACCTCCCTCTGGGGTTTTGAAGTTGAGGGGATGGCTGCCGGGGCCGTTGCCCTGCCCATTGAAGGTCATGACGATGAGGCTGTACTCAGAGAACGGCGTCAGTCCTGGTACTGTGGCGTGGTTGCGGTCCCCGGGGAACGTTAGGGTATGTTTGTCTCCGTGGCTTTTCTTTGCGTCCACCAGACTGCGCAGACGCCACCAGCTTACCTGCATTGGGAAAGAAGACACATCCTCAGCAATGCCTGCAAGACATCAAACCTTCGTGCATCACACATATGTTTATGTGTAACAGAATGCTGGATGAGTTATTGTGTGTTTCTCTCTGGTGGTCTGTGCAGGAAAACATTGAGCTGGCCAAGTAAGGCAGACAGAGTGGGGTGAAAGAAGCAAACGTTTAGAGCAAGGTCAGGGCCATTCCTTTTAAGCCGTGTCTAAAAGCAAAGGTCTGTTTTTGAGGTATTACCCTGTAGCCTCCCAGATGTCCATGTAACTTGTCCTTGTGTACACGCGTCCAGCTAACCTTGACCACTGAGCTGTTCATCACCTCCACAGCTACATCCTCAGGTGCAGCAGAGGGAACTGCAAAGGCAAACACACATTAGAACCTACAGTAAGCTAAAAGTAAGTCAAGGAAAAACAGAGCAGAGAGGAAAGACTTGCAAAAATAGCCATGTTTCCATTCAATTGTCAGGTGAATTAAGTGAACTGTTATAATGTTGCAAAATAGAACTGCAGATTAGACGTGTTTCCATCAACTGGTTTGGAGCGAATAAACCAGGCTACGCAAAGCATTTTTTTCCCAGATGTTGGCAGTTAGGCTACGCTTTAAGAAACGGTTGCAAACCAGAAAAAAAAAAACAAATCGCCTTGGTCGTCTAACCAATCTACGAGAAGAAACAAAGAGGTCTTCAGCAATTTGTTTCAACTGGACACGCTTTAATTGTTCTTTCATGTCAGCTTGTATTGGCCATGTTTCATGCTGTCTAAGACAAAGTGAAACAATTCCAATGCACAGGAAGACATCCACAGCAGAAAGCTGCTCAGTAATGTGAGTTAAATGTTCGCTATTCGGCAAAGACATTTCCATATCCCATTTAGTGCATCAACTCTTTTTCAACAACAGCAGAAACTATCTCAAGCATAAAAGTTTTTTTTGTGCAACTGAGAAAGTTTTAATGAATTTTCATGAAACTTTTCTAATGTGATACTTGTGCATAAAAGTATGTTAATGGAAACATGGCTAATGACATACCAGTTTGAGTTATCCTGAAAACAACTCAAATGATCTCATTACTGTTTCTGTACAACTAGCTACATTCACTGATCACCTATTAGGGACTGACATCAATGGCCTCTACCTACAGTCACACCAGCTACTGTAAATGATAAAACCATTGAGCTAAGGGATTAAATACTGTATTCAACAACACCACATTTAAGTGAGGACACAACAAGGAGAGGAGTCATGACCTGAAGTTACTTCCTGCGGGCAAGTCCAGAAGAAAGCTAAAGACAGGAAATACAGTAAACTTCTGTACAGGCTGCTTTTCTCTTGAGAAACTGTAACTTCTACACTATACCGCTGTGAAACTGAAAGTCAAGGTCAAACTCTCAGGTCTAAAATATTTCAACAGCACGAAAAAGCTTATAAATAAATCATTTCACAAAGTCTCCCTGAAAGTATCAGTTAGGCGAAAAGGGGAAAACCTATTTGAATTAAACCAAATCTTTCTCCATAACATCATAGATCCTAAAGATACGACAGCTACTTGGCACTGTGGCAGATCCAAAAGGCAGCAGGAGGTGAGTGGAGAATTTGTGAACTTTAATACCCAGAAACAACATGAGTCAGAACTCCAGACACAATGTTATCTAATTCTATCCACCAGAAGAATCTGTATTCTCTCTTCACTGATAATAACAACAAGAAAGGAGATGCAAATATTCAAAGGTCTAGCTTTCTTTCAATGGTGCATTTGCTCTTCTGGAAACACTTTATATTCAATTTGACTTGTAAGTAGAAAAGTAATTTTACTGCTATTGTACAAGGAGAAAATCCATTATGTTTGTTTTGGGTTTATGGGCATCTTCTAGAACATCTTTTGTCAAATTTCCTTTAATGCAATTTCCAAACTTTACAAACTAACTTTCATTTATTTAAAAATCACATTTGGTTAAACTGTCATTTTATACACACCAGTAGATTTCCTGAGTTCTTTGCTTGACTGTCTCCAACATAGCTGCTGGACTTAACTTCCTCATTTCACAGCTAAAGTACACTAGGTACACTAAAATATGTTTAACAACATTTAAGGTGAGAAATAGTCAATGCAGTGACAGAATCTCGATTTATGTTTTAACAGATATTCTGCTTCATGTACTTCTTCCACAAAATAGTGAATATTTTTTTTTCTCAAAAGTTACCTACTGTAGCTCTAACTGATATCATAGCTGTTTGGGGGCAGAGGAACTTTTCAACATTTTCTTTTAAGCAGCCTTCACATGATAAGAACAACGTGCTTCGCTCACCGCCAGGTGCGGCGCAGCGGCACAAAGTTCAAATAATTTCAACTCTGAGCGCAGCGCTTGGGCGGAAAATCCAAGCGGTGCGCGACACCAAGGGTAGCGGTGCCGCTTTGTCAGGCGTTGCCACCCTCTCTATAGACAAACAATGGGACAGCCAGCGCAAAGCGGTTTTACAGCTGATCATGTGTAGAGGCCTTCAGGCTGTCTTATTTATATTTTCAAATGTTACATAGTCTAATTTTGTAGTGAGTTGTGTTTTTTGACATAAGAGCAATACAAGTCCAATATTCACTCTTCTTTTAGCTCTGTTTTAGTCTCCACCAACTCCTGAGGAAAATTAATGATCCATTATGTTCACTAACTTTGATAAATTTGTCTGCTCTTCAATGGTGGGCAGGAAGTAACTTTATCAGATTGGTTTGTTTGTTTGTTTGTTTTTTCTGAAAATATCTGCAGCTAGAAACAGTTAATGAGGGCAAAGTAGTTACTGGGAAAATGAAAGAATGAGTTAAAAGACACTAAAATGCTCCTTAGAGTTACCAGTGACCCCATTCACAATCCTTTCAGTCATTTGATCCATTGCTAATATAAAAAAATACAATGTATGTGAAACTTAAGATAAAATCACATAAGGTCGGCTAAGTTTACTACTACTCACAGTCCTCTCCTGAGTAGCCGCTCACTATCTTGGGCTCTGGGCCCCAGCCCTGATGGTTCCTGGCTTGGATCTTGATCTCGTAAGGCACAAATGTGGGAGTGTTCTTCAACACAAACGAGTGTCTCTTCACCATGTACTCCTTCCATTCCTCCTCCACATCCTGCCTCCTGTAACTCACCTTATACTCCAAACCAGGGCCATTGTGCTCAATGGGTAACAAGGGCTGAATCATGGAAAGTAAAGAAAGCAAAAATAGAAAAGGAGGAACAATGGTGTGAAGAGTTTCATAGAGACTTTCACAGTTGCATAAGACGATTGTATTTCATTGTCAATGCCTCCCTGGGATTTAAATGAGAAGCTAGCCCAGTGAACTCCGCTTGAAACACTGGCAGTATTTTATCCCACTATCTAATAAACCAATAGAACAACTGACCTGGTCTGGCAGCATGACTTTTCTTTGATATAGGGCTTTCTAAGACATCATAGATGAAAAGATTTATCTCTTCACAGAAGTCAGACCATGAGAAATACAATGAGACACCATTATCCGCAAAAGCAAATCATTAACAGTGGGGGAGCTCATGAATCCTGGATTCGAGACTACATTACCATGACAGGGCAACCAGATAGTAAGTGAAGGAGAGATTTATCTTTTTACAATAAAGCGGAATATATTATTGTATGTGTTAAAAGAAAAAAGTCTTTTCAGAGCTCTCCTTTCTCTTTCTAATCAAAGAAAAGGAGCAGCTTTCAATGGAAACACATTCAGAGTGATCCCAGAAAATGGCTTTTCTAAAGATCTGAACCACAGAATGAAATATCAAACGTGGGCCATTTGTATTAAATTAAATTCCTATTGGTAATTGCCTATGAAACATTGATAAAACTTCATCTCTGTTCTCTGACTTCCAAAAACTGCAGCAGATGTGAATAATCCACTGTATAAAGGTAGCTGACATTACAGAATTTGCAGTAAGAGGATAATAAAAGACCAAACTCTATTTCTTACCTCCCAGTTGATATTCATTTCATGTGGTAAATGACCTTCGATTTTGATATTTTCAGGGTTCTTGTCAGGAGCTGCAGAAAAGAAAGAATATAGATTTTGTCGCTATTGTTAGTGGAAGAAATCTCCGGTGAAAAAGGCACACAAGAGAACAGATTTTCAACAAGAGTGGAATCAATTATGTAGCGGGTGTGAGTGTTTTAAAGTTCACAGAGCAGCCGTGTTGGCAGCTCAAGTGGCCTGGAGGACCTTATCAAAAAGTATGACAAACAATGAAAGCAGGAAGCCTCAGACCTGATGGCTGGGTTTTGTATCTCTCTGTGGGCTCGCTGGGAGGACCCCTTCCTACGGCGTTAACACCAGACACTCGGAAGCTGTAGTCGATGTGGCCGTGGAGTTTGAGCACGGCAGAGTTGTGGTTCCCGGGTACTCGGAGCAGCTCCTTCCAGTTTCCTGGCTCCCACTGGCTTTCCTCGTACTCAATAATAAACTCTGTTGACAGGCAGAAAGACAATCAGAGCGGCCCCTCACTGCTATGGTTCTTGCCAGAGGATTGCTTATCTAACCACCAGCTGTGCAGAAAACTCCTCAAACCCTGCTCTGGGCTTGTATATCCCTGAGGGAGACTAATCATAACTCATGCTTGGATGAATCAATAATAGACTCATATTGTACAAGATGGTATCAAACAAATCTATTTACATGCAGAATGATGCCCTAAAAATGTGTGTGTCATATTAATACCACTCACTGCAAGAGGCACTGATTCAGTATGTACTCCAGTGACACCTGCACACACAGATGCTCCTGTTACCTGTGGTGGAGCTGTTGTGGTTGTCCCCGGGGATCCATTTCAGTTTCACACTTTTGCTCTTGTGTTCAGACAGTACCAAGTACTCAGGAGCATCAGGGACATCTGAAAACCATCACAACAACATGGCTTTGGAAAATCACAGACACATCAATCTCTACAGCAAAAAAAAAAGGCCATGAGAACAAATGTTCAATCGAATCATCCCGAGAGCCAGAGGATGTGGAACGAGCTGCATCGCTGCAGAAGCTGCCACTATTTCTTTAAGACTGAAGATGTCAAATATATCTCAAAAGGCTGATTGTCAGGCACAGCACTGCACCAATAAAGCAATGGTCTGCATGTTCACACTCTGCTTTGGCTTCCTGACATATTGATCCCTTTATGATTGTGTCATACATAAATGTAGCACCAGGGGTCTCTGATCTTATGGCCGAGGGCAAAAATATTGTTTGTATGTTAGCTCACCTAACACCATGAGCAGAGCGGAAGCCGAGTCTTGGTCGACTGGTGTTCTTGCCACACACGTGTACACACCCTGGTCACTGTGGCTTACATTGATAATCTGTAGAATACCATCCTCCACAAAGTATCTGTTGACAGAAAGATGGAGACGCAGTATTGATTGACAAAACTGAAAAGTGAAATGACTTTCCAGCTAGGATTAAGTCTGCAGTGCTGTAAAAAATAAAATAAAATGCAGTATCCTACCTTGAATTCTCAGTGTAGTTGAGGGATATCTCCATATCATCTTTTTCCCACAGGAGCTCAAAGTCGTTGCTGAAGGACTTGTCGTACTCTGCGAGGCATGAGAGCTGGGCCGTGGTACCTATTAAGATCTGCAGGTCCTCCTGGGCCACGACTATTCTAGTGGGATCTTCCACAGGCACAAGCGTATTAGTTACATTTCAAGGACTGTGAGCCACTGCAAACACTTTTACAGGTAAAACTGTTTACCTTTCACATAGAGCATGGCATCAATGGCGGACGTTCCCTCTGTGTTTTTAACTAAACACGTGTACTGTCCCGTGTCATCCTTCTCCAAGCTATAGATCTCCAGTGAACCATTGTCGTGAACTGCAAACCTCGGTCCCTCCACAGATTCAGAGGAGTCGTCTTTGCTCCTGGAAAACATTCAGCAAGAGCATTAAAGACTCAAAGTACTCTAAGGCCAAATTAAATATGAACACAGCTGGAGTCTGACTGGATAAAGACTGGACTGTGGCAGCAAAGAAGAATTAAAAGTTACTGAACAGAACATAAATGTTGAGTGAAAGACTTACTTTTAAAGAAACAGCAGGTGACCAATAAAGAAACACGCTGTATACAGAGGGACTGTATGTACCCAACAGTTGAGATCTACTGCTCTCTGCTGGTGTGTGGGAGACAGGAACAAACTGCACACTTACCAAGTGATTGTAGAAGGAGGAGAGCTGAAGACAGTGCAGTGCATCACCACTCCCTTCCCCTCCACAGCAGAGTAATCCTCCCCATCCTTGGTCAGTATCATAGGGGGCAGATCTGTGAAGACCAAGCAGCAGAATATAATCATCAATCCAAGATTGTTAGAAAAGCACAGGATGCCCTGATGTCAATATTCCACTGTAGAGGAGCCCAGGTGTGGCCCTTAACTACTGTACTTTCAGGACTTTTAGGCAGTAAAACACCTAGCAAGATCAGGTTTCTAATTTAGTAGTCTTAAAACCAGACAAAACAGGGAGAAATGAGGCGGGTAATCATGGGTTAAATGAGGCGACAACACTGTTGCTTTCCCTCAGCGCTAATTGCAGGCTACTTTGTGTCAAAAAAATGACTCAGCTGTCAGGTTGTCAGAAATGTGTAAATGCGAAAATGAAATCAAAGAAGAAAACAATGGAATAATGAGTTAGCCGAGCGCGTGCGGCTTATCAGTTGTAGCCAAAGCCTCCCATTAAAATGGTCTGTCTCTGCTAATTGTTTACAAAGGCAGCCGCTGGGACTTAGCATTCAGCGACTGTCCAGCTTTATTAACTCCTGTGTCACCGAGAACAAACTCCCTACGTTTGTGCAGGAGCGACAAAAAGCAACATTTTGTTTTTTATCTGCACTTGTAAAGCAGCACATGTTTATCTTATGGCCCTGAAATCAGTATGGAATTGGAGAGAACTTGTTAGCATATAAATGGCAGGGAACTGGGCTTGTTGCTCCACAGGGAGAACTGCTAGCCTGAATGAAGGAGCACAGCTTGTAGACAGCCCTCCTTCCCAGGGCTCCTCATTGCTTTATGGGCGTATGCCAACATCAGCACCAGCTCTCTTGCTTGACACATCAGTCAGCAGTCTCCCAGTGACTCACTGCAAAGTCTGACACTTACTCACAAACACTGTGAAACAAATACTTTTTTACAACAGAATCTTTGTTTTCATGTACTTGGTAAAAGCATGATGGGAGAACACAGACCTAGAAGTACTTACTCATAATCATGATGTTTGCGTTTGACAGAAGGGTTCCATGTTTGTTGGAGGCCTCACACTGATAGACTGCACTGTCAGATTCTTTGGCGTTACGTAAAACGATTGTGTCATCGAACACCTTCCTGTTGGCTGCAGGAGCACCTGTGATAGACCAGAGATACATCCAGTTAATACAAGAGTTTCACATCATCAACATCCATGCTGCAACACTGTACATACATTAAAGATAAACTGGACTTACACTAAACACTTTATCCTATTTTATGTAATATTTCTGACTAAAAGAAAAGCAAGGCAACCTCAACATTCAGCCTTTTTGTACATATTAAGTCACCAGGTCACCAGGACTAACCTTCAAGTGGAAAGTATGGCATGCAGATATGGCCTATAAATAATATCACAATATTCTAAAGCTCTATCACAATACCCTTTATATATCTGATATTTTAAAATCTCATAAAAACTACTGTAGACTCCTAAAATACTAAACTATTAATTGAAGTACTGTTACTTTTAAGTTAAATAAAGTAATGTTACAAAAAAGTTAAAGAAAGTACTGTTAAAATAAAGTAATATTTTAATAAAAAAAAAAAAGGTATTGTTACTATAAAGTTAAATAAAGTATTGCTGAAATAAAGATAAAGTATTGTTATAATGAAGTAACTCAAAGCAGAGCCACTGGTGCTTTTATTCTGAAGCATCCGGCTCGTCTTGAGTTAGAAGTGTTTTTTTAAGTGTACCAGTGAACTTGAAGCCTTTCAGTCAAAAGTTAGCTGTTAGCTATTAGCAGTTAGCAGTAGGGCTGCCCCCTAATAGCTGACCAAACATTAGTTGACCAGAAAGGTAATGAGTTGGCAATATTTCATTGGTTGCTTAGTCAAAGAAAAAAAGTTAAACTCTATTAGAAGCTGTGCCTTCTCAAAATAAATTAAAACCTATATGACCGGAACATGTGGGAATTTAATTTGAAAGGACAGCAGTCAGACAGTTTCATTTACAGGGTTGGTTCCTGCGGTTATTCCACAGGCTAGTTAATAACATGTCGGGCAGGAAATCCAAAGTGTGGGATCATTTTAAGAAGGTGAAGGACGAACCCAAGGTGATATGTAAACTCATTCGTCGTCTACAAACATGTTGTATCATCTGAAACATGTAAGTAGCTACATGTCCATTAGCCACTTAGCACAATCATTACTGCTTTGCCGACAGCGTAATTAACAGGCGGCTCGCTCAGTGGGTGACGTGCACTATAAACCACATATAAACCATTGTGTTGCCCCGCCCAAAATATATCATTTAAAAATTAAATTAATATCAGAAACATGAGGGCAATGACACTTATTGGGCAACTACTAAAATTCTTAGTTGGGGGCAGCCCAGGTTAGCAGAAAGGAGAAATAAGGATTTACTCACTGAGAGCAGGAAACAAACTAACAGCTCTCCAGTTCATATATTAATAATATCTGCAAGTCCCACTTGTGCTCAGTGCTTGCAAAATGCAACTAAATAGTTGTGGGCTGGGGTCCTGCAGATACATAAACACACGCTTTGCTTGCTCATACAGTATTGCCCAGGAGAGCGGTCTAGATGGGCGGTTTTGTGTCTGTGAAAGGGAAAGAGTGGGAGACACGAAACACCAAAGCGAGTCCAATGCCGGAGGTTTAAAAAAATGAATGACAATATATACTCAATGCTTGTGTTAAAGTTATCTTATACACCCATCATTGTACAAGCGGCGATACATAGAGCATAATCAATCTAGAAAGGTTTAAAACAGTGAAGTGAGTTGAAAGTGAGACTGACCCTGCAGAGGTTCACCGTTCACCCTCCACGTTATAGTCGGCCGAGGAGTCCCAGTGGCAGAGCACTTGATGAGCACGTCCGAGCCAATCATACTGAGCTGACTCTCAGGCTCAACCACCCACTCTGGAGGCTCTGGGAAGAATCAGCATATGATCAAACTGATGAGTGTCATTATGAGAAAGACACTAAGCATTTACAGAGAGTGGATGCAATCACAGGAACAGTTGTGCAATATACAGTATGTTACGTGGTACAAGAGTCCTGCTGTAATAAACGCTACATTTACAGGTCTGACCATGACAGACAGACACTGAGGCACAAAAGGCACTTCAGCTGCCGACTGTCTCCCCGCAATCATTGTTAGAACATAATAGGCAAAAATTCCAATCATACATTGTTGTGAAATTATACCTTTAATGAGCATGTATAATCAGATACACCTCCGTACAGACACGGATGACACAATGCTGAGCATAGCAGAAAACACAGCAGAAAGCCATAGAAACTATTCAAAGCAGAGGACATTGTGGTTATTTACATGTATTCAATTAAAAAGTAACACCTGCACAATGACTCTAGGTTTATTCAGGAGACAAGCCTTTACTCTGAGCTGCATCATCATCAGGTAGGTGTGTATTACGCACAATTTTTCACCAAAAGGAGGTCTATAGTGGCTTTGCATGTACAGTGATGTGCCTATAACGATGCTCCTTTCTTTTTATTTACAGAACATCCTCTTTAATAACTACAGCACATATACAGTGTATTCCTAACTTCATCAGCGGTGGAAAGTTAAGTACATTTGAAATTTAAAGGAAATGTTAAGTATATTTACTTAAGTAATGTATTTACACACACTTTTAAAGTACTTTTACTTTATGAATGTTTGCATTTTCTGCTACTTTATACTTTTACTCCAGTACATTTCCAAAGGAAACATTGTATTTTCTATGTCACTACACAGTGTATAGTTGAAGAATGACCCAGTGGTTTCCAACCTTTTTGGCTTGTGAGCTCTTTCATAAAATCTGTGTCTAGTTGGAAATTCAGTTTTCTATGAAGGCATGTGTCCACGGTGTTTTTCTTTGACAGAAAAGCAGTGACGGGGTGCTGGCGAGCGCTCCATCCCAGTGTGACATCAAAAAAGTGCTCTCAGCTATTTTTTTTACTGACACACTTGGACAACAATACCCAGCTATGCAGCTTAAACAACGCTACAAAACAAGGGGTTGACTACACAGCTACAAGACAAGCTTAGAACGTGTCAATGATAAAAGCACAATCCCCACCAGCAGCATTCAGTGTCCAGCTGATCTGCTCCCACGCTTTTCTGTCTTTGTTGTGATAGTTTCTGACTGGCATACTATACAGCTCAGGATATACAGTAGCTAAAGCAGTGGCAGCGATGACACCAGTGCCTCTTTGAAAGAGGTTTTACACGAGAAGCACTTAGAACAGCTGCAAAAGAAAGCCAGAGTGCTCTGAAAGAAGAGGCGGCCTAATATGCTCTTTCCTCATTGGGAAGAATTAAGAAAAGATGCTGGTACTCAGAAAAACATGCTACGTGGACATGGGCCCTGAGCTGCTAGCTGTTCCATCAAAGAGATATTTCCCCTCTTCTCACATGGTTGAGACCCACAGAAGTCAAATTACCTAATATTTCACAAAAAAACAAAGATTAGAGGAAAAGTCCAAAATATGAATATAAATGTGTTTATCAGGACTTTGTATGTTTCTCTTTTCCTGCTTTATTGATCATCATGTGACCCTTCAGATTAATCTTATGAACCCTCAGAGGGATCTGATCCTTAGATTGGGAACCACTGGACCAAAGTACCCAACAGTATACTGACATATATTTCAAATAGGACTGCACAGTGGTGTGGTGGTTAGCACTGTCTCCCCACAGCAAGAGGGTTCCTGGCTTGATCCCAGGAGTGAGCCCTTCTGTGCAGAGTTTGCATTGGTCTATTACCAGTCTGTTATTCAAATGGCAACTATTATAATGATTTCAAATAAGTCAGACATGCTAACACCACTGTTACTTCACAGCACGCTATAGTTACCTTCTACTGTCACGGTGAAGTAATGGACAACTTGCCCAAGTACGTTCTTTGCCTTGCACATGTACTTCCCGCTGTCCTCCAGTTCAACTTTGGGAACAATCAGCAGTTTCCCATGATTCTCCAGTTTTGCTTTAACTGGGAGTTGATGACCAATCTTCACCCACTCAACCTGTGGAGTTGGACTGACAGAAAGAGGACAAAGTTTGAGTCTAAAAAATATGACAGGCTGCCAATAAATGACAGCAGATGAGATACAAACATGTGGTGAAAAACAAGAATCCTAAAATGTTGATAAAAGTGTTAAAATGTACACAAAACTCAAGTTACTAAAAAAAGTAATTACTTACAATCCCTCAGCAATACATTCCAATTTCAAATCCTCCCCTTTGACCAGCTGTGTCGCTGATGCGCCACCAGAGGGCGTCAGAAGAGAAGGTCTTCTCTCAAGGATTGCATTGGCTGAGGAAGCACAGCAGAGAATTAGTACAATGAAATCAGACTTCTTCACTTTTACATGTTATACATTTCTGTACACACTGATGTTTATAGGTGACACACAGCACCAGTGTGTTTGATTCTAAAAACGTAAAACTTACCAGTGTCAGGATTCGTGTCACTTTTTTCTGAGGTGAAGGTGGATGAGACAAAAAAACAATGAACATGAGGACAGCATGGATACATCATGACAAACATCACCAAGATCATAATCACAACATAAAACCAAGGAGATGCACATAAACAAGACAGCATAACACTTGGATGCCTTTTGAAGTGCAACTGTGAATATGGATACAATGAACATGTTGGAGGTGATCAGGGCTCTGAAAACAAATCACAGTTTGCATCATGATGGTTTGAGAGGAAAACAGCACTCAAGCAAAGACAACAGAGCTGAAGTGACACCTACTTGTCTTCACAACAACAGACATGGCGGTCTTCTGAACGATGGTTCGTATTCGCGGGAAGGCGGCAAAGCAGCAATAGTCTCTCCTGCTGTCCTTCTCCACAGCATGAGAGAAGTACAGGTCTCCGTTCAGGCCCATAGACACCCTCTCATCCTGTTCTATGTGCTGAAGATCTGAGCACAGAAAGAGGAAGATTTCATTTGTTTATGGTTATTTGTATTACATCCAGAGCATTTATAAGCCACGAGAAAGTCTGACATAAATGAAATCTTCTTTTTTCCCCCAGTTAAGCTGTGGTAGAATATTACTAAGTACATTAACTCAAGTGTCATACTATGGTACAGTTTTGAGGTACTTGTACTTATCTTGAGTTTATTATCGTTTAATGCTGAGTTATACTTTTAATCACCATATTTGTGAGGGAAATATTGTAATTTTTATTGCACTAATTTTATCTAACAGTGTAGTTACTCGTTGTTTTGTTAGATTAAAATTTTATATACTAAATTGTTCTATCAGAATCTGAGTCTATTAATAAAATGCATTTTTATATTATAAACAAGGGTGTTCTGAGAAACATCAAAGGTCAGAAAAAATCCATGCAAATATAAAAAAATTGCATAGCAAAATTTAGTTTTTTCATACCCCATCAATGATCTCACAACCCCTCAGATTTACCTTGTGATTATTTTGAGGGGGCATTTACCTATATGCATAAAGTGGTTGAACCTAGCTCTATCTCCACCTGCTGTAACAGCAAAATGCTGGTTAGGCATTGATCCATTAGCATATATTTAACAATGCCACATATAATAACATATTAGTCACATGGGACATGTTCCTGCAGAAATGGGTGTTTTATTTTGATATTTTAAGTACATTTTGGTCATAATACATCTGCGCTTTACTTAAGTAAGACTAAATGAAGGACTTTTACTATTTTTACATTGTTGTAATATACTTTCACTTGAGTAACGGATCTTAAAGGAGCACTTTGCTTGCCCAAATGACCATATGTATATCATTTACTCGCCACTGAAAACTGTTTTTCTTGCATGCCTAAGCAGTGAACAAAGAATCCAAAAACTGAGAAAATTCTTGATGAAAGTAAAGGGAGTCGGCATCTAACACCAGCAGAAGTATATCAAAATATCCATTTACAAACTCTTACACAACTTGTGCAGTATAATCCAAGTCTCATTTATTCAATCACGAGTTATGTGAGATTTTATAAATGGATGTTTTCATATAGTTTTGCTGTTGTTAAATAGGTTGCCATTTACTTCTATTCATCAAGAATGTGCCACCGTTTATGGATGCTTCATTCACCAAAGTCGCGTGCAAAATCAATGTTTTCTTCACAACTTAAAAATCACACAGGGTGAGTAATTGATACACACATTTTTATTTGGGAAATAAAATATTCCTTTAGTACTTTGTCCACAGCAGTTCTTCATTAAAGCTGTATTTTTTTCTTTAAGACAATATGCTATGTGAAAGGTGAAGCACACACACACACAGACACAGACACAGACACACAGACACACACACACACAGACACACATACACACACACACACACACACCACACACACACACACACATACACATTTTATGCATGTTTTCACAGAATTCAGCCTGACATATTTGGTACCTGTGGAAACTTTGGCATCTCTAATTAGATTTGAAATTATATTCTGTGGGTTTGAAAAATGAATTTCAATGTGGATTTGAAGTTACTCAGTTTTCAGAAATGTGAAACATTTTTCAGTCTAAATATTTCTAAACACAGCATGTCATGGGTGAGAAGGAAAGGTGTAAAAATATGTTATAATAAATATGTTAAAATATTCAATTAATATCACAACACTACAACACTACTGTGGACCCCAGAAAAAGTAACTGATGTTGTATATCAGCTAATGGGCATCCCAATATTCATCTAAGTGCTAGATTTATGATAAATAAAAGATATGACTTACTGATAGTCATCCAGTAGATCTGCAGTGGAGGTATTCCTTTAGGTGGATTACATTCTAAAACAAAGGGTTGGCCTTCCTCCACCACAACAGGATCGAGCGTTTCTTTAGGAAACTTCGGAACATCTGGTAAAAAGAGACAGAAACTAGAGCGAGTCAATGATGTCTGACAGAAATGAATAATTATGAGATGCAGTCATCTTATTCTCCAGGAGATGGCAGTAATATCATTCTTGGATCTAGTGGGAGGCATAGCATGTGTTTTCTGGGCTCTGTATCATTCAGTAGATTCAATTCTATGTGATTTTTTTCACTTCTTGGCCTGCAGAAACAAAACAGACATCACTTCTACTATTGTGTGTTGCTTGTCACTGCTGCTGAGTGGTTGAAGCCCAGCCAAATTTAGTCAAAGTCCCCCTTGGAGTGGATTTTCTGTGAGAATTTATGTACTGTGTTTGGGAACAAAATGAAAAATGTAGCAAAGGAAATGATGGAGAGCCCAGATCACACTCGATGCTTTTTCCAATACGGTGCTATAGATGAGATGCTGCAAGGGGTGGAGAGCTCAGGAGCCTCAATGACTTTCTGCCACGTCCAATACAATGAAAAGCTCACAATGGAGAGGTGCAGTCATTATACGGGACTACTGGCCCTGAATCACTTTGAAAGCACTGTAACAGAGCACCACACACATACACATGCACACACTCACAGATGTATGTTACTCACGGGGCACAATGAACTCAATCTCCTTCGATATGGCGGTCCCAAGTTTGTTTGAGGCGTAACAGCGATAGGTTCCCTGGTACTCTGTGAGGTTCCCATTATTAGGTATCACAAAAGTCCCCGAATTCTCCTCTTTCATCAGACGGGGGTCCAGAGAGGGGTCGAATTCCTGGCCATTCTTCGTCCATCTGAATCTACATAAAGAAACCAGTATTGAAATGTCAAGTCCTTCAGCTGAGACTGCAGCGTGCTCTTTTTATAAAGTTCATAACCGAGGCACACAAATGCAACATGTTGGTGTTGTTGTTGTTTGTTATTGGTGTGTGTCGCTGCTAACAAGCTCTCCATCCTCTCCTCCTCCCATCTGAAGTGATGCAAGGCCTGGTACTCACTCTGGCTCGGGATTCCCTTTGGCTTCACACGTCATGGGGAAGCTCTCATCAAAAGGGAAAGCGATGAGAGAGCTGGGTGACTGAGCTGTGATGTCGGGCAGCTGCTCAACTGGGCAACAAACAAACCAGCATGAAAATGTGAGAAACACAACACAGGCCCTCAATACAGAGCTCTACTCAGAAGTATCTCATATTCAACATGATTCTACATCAGCGGTTCCTAACCCTTTTGGCTAGTGATCAGGAGTGAACAGATATAAGTCCTTGCCAGTACGGGAAAAATGGCTTTCTATTGGAATAGTGAATGCTACTGCTGGCTGTTAGGTTGCACTTGTGTGACATCATCATAAGCCCACCAGCAGACGGAGTTGTTGGATGAAAGTACCTTTCTCCAATTAGCCTGCAGATTGCAGTAGATTTGTACGGTCAAGTCAGTTAAACCATCAGCTCCATTCAGCGCGAGCTTACAGACACCATCTTCGGAGGCAGCTGTTGACTGACGGAGAACCTGACTCACTGACTGCTCTATTTATGTGTTGTGGTTCCTCATGCCATGAGTTATGATTTATTTTATGATGTGCTTGAGATTAACTGTTTTTTTGTTTGTTTGTTTGTTTGTTTGTTTTATTTTAAATGTTGACCAAACATTAGCAGATGTGTTTTTTTGTTTAAAATGCCATCTTGTTGTATGTTGGTTTAGGCAAGCAGCTGGCACCCCGTCCTCCCCTCTGCCAGCACTGAATATTTTACCAGCCTACTTTCACCTGCCCATGACCCCTATAAACAAAGCAATTTCTACTTGTGACCCCTCATCACAGGTTATACAGCCTTTGTGAGGACATATTTGTGAGCAGTTCAACCGAAGAGTAATTTTTACTGCTTAGATTGTTTAATGTAAAGGATTTTAAGAATCTTGAAGTAAAAAAACTTTGCTTTTCTTTTGTCTGTGTGTGTGTCCCTTTGTGATGATTCTTTGCCACCTTTCTGAATTCAGAGGTTCTTGCACATCCAGCAGGTGGAACTCTTCATGAGTTTTTTTCCTAAGCAGCAAGTTGGTGAGTTTGATTTGCAGGGTGGAGAACAGATCAGTAAATCGGTTTGTGGTCAGATTGATCAGAGCTGAACAGATCAAACTGATGGATTAGAGGAGAAGCTGCTGCAGAGGTGAGTAAAAGTAAACTTTCTGTTGCTGCCATTACACAGGTTAGACCCAGTGCTGGATTGTGGGGTACACAGTTTCAATGGAAAGGCTGCCAATTGATTCTAAAGTAGGTCTGAAAAACGATTCTTAGAACAACAGCACTGACATGAGAGTGCTGTTGTTCTAAGAAATAGAGCGCTACATTTCTATATGAATTAATTCACTTTCACTGAGCCTGGCGCTCTGCTGCCCCTTTGCCCAGAGTACGCGAGGGATACTACTGTATATTGTGGCGGGCTGCCAATGAATATATGGGAGAGTATTTATTTTTATTTTATGAAAAAAAAAAAAAAAGCAAAAATTACAAAAACGGCAGAAAAAAATAATAGAATTTTCTTTCTTATCCCTTCAATCATCTTGTGACTACTTCTGAACCCAAGGTTGGGAACCGCTGTTCTATGATGGTTATTATTTTATGTCTCTATGTACAGAGTTCTATCCCAAAACATGATTTGTCATAAAATACTGACAAAAACTTTACTCAAAATTAATAAAACATGTTTAATTTTGTAATTGAAATGTTATTTTGTTACAATGGTTTTATCTTGGCATAAAACTCTTATTTGTTCTTGTATGATCTTAGGATGTCAGAGTTGTGACATGTGCTAAGCATGGAACAAACACAACACAATGAGTGTTAATAATGTTGTATGACCAAGTGTGAAGTAAAATGAGGACATGCTATGAGTCTTGCGGCACATGAGTCCTATCCTATAAGCTGAGATATCAGTATTATGGAGTCATGACTGATGACACATGAGATTCAGATCCAACACATATGGCTGTTTGTAAAGCTGCTGCTGCGCTCAACAGTGAGCCAAGGAGATTAACAGATGAGAGCCGAGGATGTCACTAATACCAGCTACGGTATGGCGGTGTGAACTTACTGTTTACATGACCTAAAACTACAAAATCCATGGCAGCAGGGGGAAAATAAACAAAACAAAAACAGTCAGCAGTTTGGGAATAATCTTTTCATGTCACAAGCACTCGCTATATAAACCCTTTTAAACACACACGAGTAATGCAAAACAGAAGACTGAATTAAAAAGATATTGTGACATCAGAGAGCCTAAAACACGTTTGCCTTTACAGAAAACCTGTTTGAACTGTTCTTTGTCAAGCCCTTAAGAGATATTTTGAATAATTTAAAGGGAGAGGTTTGATATGCGTTTCCAAGGAAACTGGGATGCACGCACACCCAACACAAAAGAAACAAAAAACTGATTCAGACAAGATAATAGCTGTAAATGTATTCCATTCACAGAATACTTTATGATTGTAACAGTTCTCTTTGGTGTGATTTATTTGCCTCTAAATTATTCAACACTTTTTTTTCTGATAAAAGCACTTCAAACCAAGGACATCTTCTGTGTGGATGAGCATTAACAATTTTAAGACTTTTTTACATAACCTGTCCTTGTACTCTACTGCATCTTGCTTCATGAATGACTTAAAGTAGCTTTTAATGTGTTTCATAAGAACAGTTAAGTGTCTGTTATGTCAAATTCAGCCAATTTAAACTGAATAGTTACAGTGTAAAACATCAAGTTTTATATTATTTTCAGTATCATTTCAGAACTTCATCTCACTTGAAGTCTTGTGACTTGAAATGATAATTTGAATGAATATTCTGGTGCTCACTAAACTCATCAAATTTAGTTGCCAAACAAACATGATGAGCATAATAGCAGGCTTCCCAGCATGCATAGCCTTAGGGGCAAAGCTATCCAGAAGCCGGTCTTTGATTTCTCTTGAACATGATGGAAACTTGCTGTGTGTAACACGTGTGTATAACATGTATTCAAAGACATGTTTAGTTAATTTAATTTGTTTTTTTTCAAGTTCAGTGTATTTGAATCAGTTGGTTTCACATTTTCACAACTCATGAGCCGAATCAACAAATTATTCTTATGTTTTTAGGTTGAACCAGCTAACTATGTTTTCCAGTGTACTAGCAATGGCCCCGTATACACCTGTTACTAACATGCATCCTAGGTGACTGGATCACAATGAGGAAACTCTAAGCACTGGTGAGAGTGCACCCAATGTGTCCTCACTGCGCCTTGGGACCTGATCACTCACCACATTTGAGGGTGTCTGGGCCACATGTGGCCACATTCTTTCAGCATAGTGTATGCTTATGTGTCCTGAGCCACACTGAAAGACCACCTACCCAGCCAACTTCTTTGCTTATCTAACTCCCCACTTTCTGTAGCTGCTGAAGCACCACTGAAGGATCGTCCCTGGAGCAGCTTTCCTCCCAGTGACCAGTCAGTTCAACGTCTGGCAGTTAGCTAACAGAGCAGCAGCTGTTTAACGCTCCCAACAAACTTCAATGTATCCTCATATAACGGTTCATATTATATTTTATGAATTAGTACCCCAAGAAAGGCCTTCCGTGCTTCACATTAAGTTACGTAGGTCAGGTTACAGCAAGTAAAGTTGAGGAGAAACATGGTGACGACATACCTTAGAATAACTTAAAGCTTCCTTGGTTTCACATGGTCCTGAACACTAATCTCCTGGGGGAAAGTCCTGTCATGACCCATCCACTACCCAAAGCAATGTCCTTACCTGGACTTTTGCTCTTGATACTACTTCCTTCTCCGAACAGCTGATTAGTTATGTGATCGCAGCCTTCCTAATTACATAGTTTATAAATGAATTACTGGCTCACGTGTGCTACATACAAAGTGTGGTGCATTACTTTTTGTAAGTGTACGTACAAACGTTGGACTCTCTTAACGCCAGGTGCTTAAAACCTCTTGCTGGTTAAAAACAACAACACATTTGGTCTTTGCAAACAGAAATGATAATGTGTTTGTTTGCATATAGAGAGGGGAAGTGAGATCCGATCACAAGGGGTCACTTGAGACGAATGTAGAAATGCATTAAAATGCCAGGTGTGAACAGACATACTTAAAGCTGTGCAGCTGCAATCAGATCACCCGAGATGCATGGTAATACCAGGTGTAAACAGCCTCAATTATTTAAAAGGTGTACCACAATTACAAAAATCAGTTTTACTTGGATGCCTCCAGGGTATCTCTCCATCTATCCAGATAGCTTTGGTTTTACAGTATTTACCCAGATTCTAAGATATCTTTCTCTTTTAGTTTAAAATCTCAACAGCAACATTTTCTTTACAGAAACAATGTCTATGTTTTCCTGGAGATACAACAAAATGATGTCATTGTTTTGTTCAATAGAGAACTGCTCTTTGAAGTATGGCAGTCAATGAAACAAATGTGTACACTCCTGCATAGTACAAGTCAGCACTCACTCTCCAGAGGGATGTTGATGGCTGCAGTCGTATGAAAGGCACAAACACAGGCGATCAAGCCCAGCACGGTGACCAGTCCCGGGCTCCTCTGCAACCTCATGGTTTCTCCTTAAATGGTGGACGTCCTCAGGAAACGAGTGCTCTCTCCTACTCAGTCCTCAGTTCATTTCTCTGGTGCGCCAAAGATGCGGTACCTGTGAGAGTAGCACAGACGGAGAAGGCCCCATGAATCCACCCACACACTGGCAGACAGAAAGGCAAACCCCAAACACAACAAATCCCCCGTGACTGGGAGCCCGACTGCTCTCTGCTCAGCCAGGCATAACCAGGCACGCCGCACATTTTCATTTGCATCAACAGGGACTCTTTTCTGCGTTGGTTCAAATTTTGCTGTGACAAAGAAATATTCACATTAAAGCCTCCTATCATCTCCTTCCCCTTGGGACTCAGCATGTTCTGTAGTTTGATGTCTGTGGAAGTGTGTAGCAGAAAGTGTATTTTCCATGGGACAATGGAAATAAATACATAAACAAATTTAGGAGCCTGTGGATTTATTAATGCATGGCAGATGTTCGGTATTACTGCGAGAACGGCATTTATTCCAAAACCAAGCCGAGATTGAAATCAAAATTACCATCAAAGTTAAGATACTTTTCAGCCGATTTAATCACAGTGCTGTTTTCATCTGTGCCTGCATGTTTCTGATAACAATGACTCAAAGAGATTTACAATGCAGCTACACATTTATCTATTATTGCAGCAAATATTGCTGCCTGAGGGTGAGGCATAAATAGCATACATAGTTAACAGTCAGAGAGAGTAAGCTGTCTGCGCTCGCACACTGACAGGCTGTGGAGTACAGAGCACTGGATCATTTTCCAGCTAACAGACCAGAGTCTGGACCATAATGAGCACATGATCGGTCCAGAGTGCAGAACTAGAGGAGGGAGGAGGACGAAAGAGAGCAATGTATGGGAATTTAAGTGTCTGTAGCAGTGGGTCTGTTCACTCTCTGGGGTGTCAGTTCATTAGTCTTCCTCGTGTTGGCTGGGTCCCAGCCTGGTGGGTCATGCTGGAGTAATTAGCTGAGCAGCTAACAAACGCCGCCACAAACTAACAACAAAACATAAGAGTTTTAGAGGAATGTGAAATCATAAGGCTGGGTTTTTGAGTTTTGCTGGTGTTCATGCGGAACAGAACCAGTTTAACATGCAAGGAGCATCACACTGATAAAGTGCAATTAATAATGTCAAAGAAGGGATGTGTGTTGTTCAGCAGTAGTAACCAAGACATGAACAGTAACCAGTGTGTGCTCAACAAGCTGTACAATATCTAAAAAAGAGTTCACTGCTCAGGCTTTGGGAGTAATGGAATACAAGGAACAGCATTACGTAAATAAAACACAAAATATGAGTAACTAAATTCCGTTAGTTTAAATGGGTGGTTTTCTGAATACGCTTACGATCTTTAAAAATAGATTACTCAAAAGGATTACTTTGCTTTGAAAGCTCCACAATGGTCAAAGAACGACTGATTCAAAAGGATAAAATGAGGAGTTATCTGAACAATACCTTCTCATTCCACTAATCCACTACAAAACCCTAGATAAGGCGACAGCTGGCTGGAGGGAGATCACCAGGGAGCTGAAAGTTTCTGGTAAATAACCATTGCTAGTAACAATCTACTGGCTGTTGGCTATATTGTGTGTAAGTGGTTTCCAGCCCTTTTCATTAAGGGAGCCCTTTTCTATTATTGGTTATTATTATTATTATTATTATTATTATTGAGTGACATATTTTAGTCAATGCATAACATAACAGTACAGAATATCACAGTATAAAACATGTTTTCTAGTGCAAACATAGAAAGATAGCAAGAACTTATCTATCTTTTAAGTGGTTATGTATGCAGTCGAGCGCACAGCATTGCATACTTAACCAACTTACTGTGAACAGAGCGTGATGCTTACTTGCTGGAAACAGTGTAAAATTCATATGATTTCCGATAAATAAATTTTTAAAAGTGTGTGCAGTGCACCTGCCACACGCCAATAGCAGAAGAGATGCATAGCCAGAAGACTGTCATGTGTTTGTGGCATGGAAAATATAAGACCCAGACAAATGTGCTCAACAAGATGCTTTTGAAGTATCCAAAAGTCATTCAAAGTATTTAGAATACATTACTTAGTATGAGTAATCTCATGGGATATGGCACAAATTACATTTTAGGGCCTGTATTCAGTAATCTCTAGTGGAATATGTTGTAAAAGTTACCCTCCCAACACTCCCAAGCAGCAGTCAACAGGACTTGTATAGTAACTAGTGTGTGCTCAACCAACCATACAATATCTAGAAATGAGCTTGCTGTTCACTGTGGTACTTGACTCCTACTCTGACTCTTTTCTAATCTTCTTGCTGCCTTAACAAATTCAATAGGAAACACTGAGGTCAAACTCCTGTTCACAACATGTAATTAAATAATTGACCACAGAACAAAAGAGTCGATTTCATTCATTTGGTGCAGATCTGTTTTCAGATGAACGTGCACTCTGAACTTTTTGACCATGCCTCGTGTTAATGGAATTAACTCTGTCTGTGACTCAATACTGGCTTTCTGAACCATTGTGACCCCTGCCCCACCCATCCAAAGTATCACCAACAAGGCTCCAGACTCTCAGTGTGCTATACATTACATACATCCAGACCACTCAATCACAATTCAGGCCTATTGACTTTATTTCCAACTGAAGATTGGTGTCTCAGAGTCATAAGTAATTCAAAAAAACGCCTTAGGCTTTCCTTTGTTTCAGTCTTTCCCAGACATGGTGATTTATGTTGCTAAACACAGATTAAAATCAAAAGGTAAGGGCTTTGTGCTAATTAGCTTGTGCTTTGTTGGTAAGATTGGCCTGGTTAAGAGGAGATGGAGGGGGGTTACAATCCCCACAAGACATTGTGTTCTCATTGTCCTATTGTGCTGGCCAAAATCCTTCACCAACCTAAAACCACCTTAGATGGATTACATTGTTCAAACTGTGCTTGATCACTTGCCTTCTGATTTAATTTGTTCTCCCCTCGTTAAACATTTATTGAGAACCAGCTCGGCCATCTGGTTGAGGGAGGTCCACTCCTAGGGTTTAAGTGCTGAGGGTGATAATGTCTACATTGAAGTCGTAGGGTATGGTGCCTATTGGACCTATATGATGAACACCAGAGGGGCCCCTCAAGCTCGCCTGATTTACAGACGGCAGGCTGTTCTTAATCCCCGCCCCTTTCAGCAGCGATCACACCAGCCTGAGATTGATGAAGCTGGCAGGAGGTTAAAAGCTGCTCACTGTGGGTAGGCCAATATGAACCCTAACCTGACTTAGCCAAGGCTCAGAGGGGACAGAAGCTCTGCGGTGGAGGGGGCACAGAGAGGGAGCTGAAGACATGTGGGCCAAATGAGATGTGTCCCCGCACTTAAAAGCTCTCTCTGAGTGACAGATGTAGAGCACTCTCCAGTAAACTTTCTTCTTGTAAACAATACCAAATCACTTTCAAATGTCGACCACACTGATACAAAGGAATGTAACCCAATTATTCCCGTCATCATTAATGCCTTTGTCACAATGAAAAGTTCCACAAACTGTTTTCAGACTTCCAGCTTACCCAAATCCTGTCAAGTTTCACCTTAAAGCTTGGTGATGTGGCAAAAAAATACTGATGCTTTTCTTTATATGAGCTCAAAATTTCTCTTTAACTTGTCAGTCTAATGCTGCGTTCACTGGGATTCAGACAGATGGTTGACGCTAAACTGTGTATGTTTTTACTGGACAAGAGCAGCACGGAAAAGTAATAAGGCCAGCAGAGGATACCAAAAACATTAACAACAAATGGTATTGCTATCCAAAGTTAAAATAATTTAACTTTCTGCTGTCTTCCATGACATCATTAACACCCCGATGCTATATAGCTCCATCACACAGGGAGAAAACATGGGATAATCATTATTAATTACATAAAATAATAAATACAAAATCATTTTACTTCCATCTTCTAACCGCTTATCCTATTGGGGGTCGAAGGGGGGCTGGAGCCTATCCCAGCTGACATTGGGCGAGAGGCGGGGTACACCCTGGACAGGTCGCCAGACTATCGCAGGGCTGACATAGAGACAGACAACCATTCACACTCACATTCACACCTACGGACAATTTAGAGTCACCAATTAACCTAGTCCCCAATCTGCATGTCTTTGGACTGTTGGAGGAAGCCGGAGTGCCCGGAGAGAACCCACGCTGACACGGGGAGAACATGCAAACCCCGCACAGCTCCCACACCTGGGATCGAACCAGGAACCCTCTTGTTGTGGGGTGACAGTGCTAACCACTACACCACCATGCCACCCATAACTTTACTTAATATATTTTATTTCATTCTTTGTAAATAAGACAGCATCACCATAGCAACATACTGTCATGCATGTTACATTTTGCCTTGTTGCCATTCCTGACTGTTTGTATTCTGTGCCAGAAGGTGTCGTCTGCCTGAATCCATGAGCAAAGCATTTACCCTTAAATCCTTCAGTGTGGAATCTTTACAGCCAAGTGGCCTGTATCTGAGGTCAGTTTGTATCAGTTAAAATCCCTTATTTCAGCTAGTATCTATCAGTACCATGCTATTTTTCATTAAGATAGCAAAATCATTTGTGATTGGTCCACATGTGGTGAGACAGCTGTTAGCTATTATGCTGCCCACCACTGGAATCAGCTCCCCTTGAAACTAAGACCGAAACCAACTGTAGCCATCTTTAAAATTAAGCTTAAGACTGCAGCTTTTTATTAATCAGTTTTTATGGTTCTTTTATTTATTTTATTCAACTTGCCTGTGCTTTAATTTACCTTATTTTATTCTCCTATTTTCTTTTATCTTTTTATGTTTCTTATCTTCTGCCTGTAAAGCACTGTGAATAACCTTTGTGCATGATAATGTGCTTTATAAATAAACTTGCCTTGCCTATAAATGGGGTAAAAGCACATAGCAATGTTCCAGTCTACTGTGGGGGTGTTTCTCTCGTTCCAGGGGATGCGTCTAATTGCTGATGTCTTAGTGTGTGGGCGCTTGGTCTCTGCATGCTTTATCAGAAGGTGATGCTTTAGGTAATAAATATAGTTTCATGTCAGCCTAGGAACTGTCTCTCTACTGAATGTGCA